TTTTGTAATAGTGCTGTTTAATACAGCACAATATCACCGCTAGGAGAAGATGGATATCCAGGGCGGGTGAGGGAGAAGGAGGAGGGGCGAGAACAGCGAGTGGAGGGGGTGAGGCAAGTACAGGGGAATAATGATGAAGTACCTCAAAGTTTGATGCAAAAACGCATGATCGCACCGGCTCGCCTGGTGCGTTCCAGCCTGGGTTCTCCTTTTTTCCTTCTTTCCTTTTATCCTTTTTTTTTTATTAACCGTTTCTTGAGGATCAACAGTTTCATCTGCAGTGCATGACGAACTCATTGCAGTACGTACTGTTATCTTCTTCTAGAAAGAACGAAATTGGAAGGCCATTCTCTCCAAAGTTTTTAGGAAGGACGGCGAGGAAAAACAACGGAGGAAGGGATTTCCGGAGTTTGCTGCTGATTTGGACTTTAAATTTCTGTGAAAAATCAATTCTATTGCTTTCATTTTGCTCTGTGTTATATTTCGCAAACCGCAAAGAATGACAGTTGCAGCAACTGCTTACTGTGTTATTGGCGCATAATGCAATCAAGCACCCCGAGAACGTAGCAGCACGACTCAGCATTTTGTTCTTTCTCATCTTCTAAAATTAGAATAGTAAGGCGCAAATTCGTAGCTTTGCTTCAGCGGCAAAAATTCTGTTCACTGCTGACTATTAATCAAATCCAAAACGGAGCAAACAGCGGTGCAGAAACTTGCGAAAAAACGGAAAAAAAGTTCCTAGTTCTGTCTAAGAACTAATACAGTGCATGTACTTGCAGAGTATTTCTGGTGCATGGCGCATTGGTTAACACGTCGCATACGATCGTGACGAGGAGAGAATCGGATTCCTCTCGGTTCATAATCATGTGCAAAAAAAAGTTCCATCAACAACAAATTGTAAACCGGAGCTACGATAATTGTGATGCATTCGACCGACCAGGGTATCATTACGATAAACCCTCGTGCGCATCATTGCATAGGGTTTTTTAAAAACGAAACTATTTCGCAGGGTAATCGTTGTTTCACGGTCAAAAAAGTCAATAAACTACTATTTTCAAACAAATTTAAGCGAGAAATAAAAGCTTTAAAATTATTATTTATAAACTGATTAATACGCAACTACAGGCAAAGATGGTTCGCTATTGCCAAAACGGAATATTCCGCCCTCAGGTTTTTGCTTCAGAAACCGATCTATGTTATGCAAATTCACTTCTCCTGATGATTCAGGAATCAAAGGCCTAGTCATCACATTATTCTCGTAAAAAATGCTGGCTCATAGTTTCCAGACAATAATCATCTGTACGATGGGTTAGCTTACTCTTTTTTCTTACCTTTCTCATCCTCTCTGTCTTTTCTCTGTTTTCTCTTTCGCATATCCGCCTTGCAAATTAGTCACATGACTGTTCAGTACATGGCGGAGAGGAGGCTGTAGTGATGATTCCCGCTCCTACTTATGCTTAAAATTCGGTCTATGTTTACAGGTAGTGATAAAACACAGACTGTATCCTAACATGTTCTCATACATACGACACTTAGACAATTTTTTATTTCTTGTTTCACTATTATGTACA